AAAGCTCTGTAACAATAATATTCAACAAATTATTCTTGTTATAAAAGGAACTGGATGGAAATATGTTGGAAATACATTAATGAAGAATGGGAAAATTGCTGGCAAAATATATTTAGTGAAACACGTATTTGCAGTTATTGAGGTAACTTAGCCTAGAACTGTGCAAGGTGACTCACTTCCTTATAAAATCAGTAGGCGAGCTGTGCTTTCAACAAGGATTTGGAAAACAAATCCAACCAAGTTTGTACTCCATGGTCTCGTATCTGTCAGCGCTGGTTTTTATCCTGTTAGCTGTGAATGGACATAAACACTTGACTAATCAGTATTCATGTAGTTGGGGTAGTCACAAACCCTGGTAGCATTTGAGACCTCTCCAGTGCTATTGGTAAATAAGAATCTGCTCATTGTAGTCTGTTAAAACTTGTTGTAACATTCTTAAATTTCTTTTTTAACAGAGATATAAGCTTGGAGTACGCCTGTATTACAGAGTAATGGAGGCTATGCTAAAGTCGGTAAGTTTAGTACTGGTAGCTTAGTGCTGGCATTGCATTTACAAATACTAAGAATATACACAAGTTTGGTTTGATTTATATATTTCAGGAGGAAGAGCTTTTAAGAGCGTCTATCAGTGCAGAATTTTAGGTATGTGCCCCTAACTTGTTATAGAAGTCTGCTATCTTAGTGTTAGGACAAGTGTTAATAACTTTCTTTCTCCTTAGCAAACTTCTGAATGATAACATCTTCCACACATCTCTTCTCGCATGTGCTGTTGAGGTTGTCATGGCTACATATGGCAGTAAGTTGAATCAAAAGTGCTAAATAGTTTTTTTTTCTTTACTGATAATGATTGCCATTTGTCCTAATACATAAAGTACAATAAATAGTAAAAAAAAAAAAAAAAAATGCTCACAAGAAAATTCTGAACTAGCAATGATTCAATAAATACCAAAAGGAAAAAACATCAGAAGCGAAAGGATGTAGTACTCTTGATAATGCTAGTCTGTCTTCCCTGCAGGAAATGCTTCACAAAGTGATGGTACCAGTGCTGAAACAAACTTGTCTTTCCCATGGATTCTTAATGTATTTGATTTAAAAGCTTTTGACTTCTACAAGGTGATTGAAAGTTTTATTAAAGCGGAGCCAAGCCTAACAAGGGAAATGATAAAGCATCTAGAACGCTGTGAACATCGAATTATGGAGTCTCTTGCTTGGCAATCTGTAAGTAATGTTTTAAAGTAGTATTTATCCATGTATAATATGCAGATCTAGAAAAAGGAAATCACACTCAACTGTGTAAAATAAGTTGTGGTCTCGGTGAGATTTATTTCTAGTAAAATAAATTACAAGAACAAAACAAGATTAGTTTTGGCACGTCTTTAGGTTTTGAAAAAAGGGATATATCAGAGGAAGAAGCTGACAAATCTCTGCTGATTTACATGATTGTACGCCATCATCTTACCTAGTCTGGCATGAATCTTAAGGGTAATACCCTTAAACGGTATTTTGGTGCCAAAGACAAGGCAATAAATTCTCTGCTTTTATTTGTAAGTTAATTTTTATCCAGTTGCTCTTCCCACTTGGCAATAGGGCCTTAGTTCTGTACATCTGATATGTTTGCTAATAGTACTTAGAATAGTTATTTGCATTGTCCTTCCTTCAGTCACTGGTATTTTTTGGATGCCATTAAAATAAAATGCTGGGAGGTTAAGTTGGTTTTTTTTTCAGTTGAGTTCTCAGTAAATCAAGCATTGTTTCTTTTCTTCTTGTATGTTACTTATAAACCAAAAATATGCTATTAATGCCACAAAACATAAGACTATAAAGACTGCTAATTTTGACCAGAGACATAAAGACCATTTTAAGAATCCCTCCCATATCATATAGTTCTCTGAAGTTTAAAGAACACAGTATACCATAGGATAGTTTAATTGTGAAGCAAGTTTTCTTTTCAGGGTAATCTGTGTTTGGTTTGTGTATGACTTCACCTAAAAAGTTAACAGTTTTCTAGTGCTGGTGATACTTTACCAGGCTGTGGGGTTATGCTCCTGGATTTGAGGAACACTGTTGTGTCTGAGCAGCAAGAGCCCCACCTGTGCTCAAGTTTCTGGCTCGGGAGGAGCACGCTGGCCTCAAAGGTGTATGAAAGCAATTGCCATGCTTCCAACTGAATTTACCAGACCTCCTGATGCCAGCCGGCCTTTGACAACACAGTCAATGGACACGTGTCAGGCAGCTCCCTGAATATGCACTGTTGTGAAGGTGACCTTTCCGTTGGGTATCCCAACTCCATGCTCATCACCATGGCACTCTGTTCCCCAGGATTTCTGGTGCAGTGCTGTACCAGAGTGTAAATTTTCCCCTCTGTAATGCTTTTGCATATTTGGTGTCTTGGGAAAGCCATATGGCCTCTCCATTGCTGTATGAATTTCTTTGTGGTTTTGCTGTTCTTTGAATGAGACTGCCTTGAAAGTACTTGAGGCTGAGAGCCTTTTACCGGACCCTACAGAAACAGGGAAAATGAGTCAGTATTTCAAGAGTCAGGCAGTATTTTAAGAAGCTTGCAGGCATGTGAAAAGTGCTTGTTTGAGAATTGTAACCTTCAGAGGACAAAAGGCAGAGGTACAGACACCCAAATTTGACTCTCTAGAAGCAAAAAGTGGCTTCTGCTACCTTCTGCAAACAAGTTTGAAGTCAGCTTAAAGCTTGATCAGCAGTAAGCCATATTTGCCAGTTTCTGCACAGTAATTCATGCAGAACATGCAAATAACCTGATTTGGACTTGGGCTTTCAGGCTGAAAAATCCAAAGCACTGTGTTTTCAAAAATTATCGGTATAGCTGCAGGCTTTTGTGAAACAAATTATAACATCAACAGCAAGCACAGGATCAATTCAAGTGCTCTATCTGAATGTGTTTTAATGTATTGAATCTGTCTTCTTGACTCGACAGAGATATGTGTTCGATACTGTTTTGGGGTGGTTTATATAGCTGATTTGAGTGTAAACAAAATCACAGAATCAGAGAATCATAGGGGTTGGAAGGGACCTCAGGAGATCATCTAGTCCAACCCCCCTGCTACAGCGGGTTCCCTACAACAGGTTGCACAGAAAAGCGTCCAGGTGGGTTTTGAACATCTCCAGAGATGGAGACTCCACAGCTTCTCTGGGCAGCCTGTTCCAGTGCTCTGTCACCCTCACAGTAAAGAAGTTTTTCCTTAGATTTTTCTGGAACTTTCAGTGTTCCAGTTTTTGCGCATTGCCCCTTGTCCTGTCACTGGGTACTACTGAAAAGAGCCCGGCCCCATCCACTTGGCTCCCACACTTCAGGTATTCATAGACATTGATAAGATCCCCTCAGTCTTCTCCAGGCTGAAGAGTCCCAGCTCTCTCAGCCTTTCCTCATATGGGAGATGCTTCAGGCCCCTTATCATCCATGTGGCCCTCCACTGGACTCTCTCTAGAAGACCCCTGTCCTTCTTGAACTGGGGAGCCCAGAACTGGACACAGTACTCCAGATGTGGCCTCACCAGGGCAGAGTAGAGGGGGAGGAGAACCTCCCTCGACCTGCTGGCCACACTCTTCTTAATGGTTTGGGGTGGAAGGGACCTTAAAGACCATCTAGTTCCAACCCCCCTGCATCACCTTCCACTAGACCAGGTTGCTCAAAGCCTCATCCAGCCTGGCCTTAAACACTTCCAGGGAGGGGGCATCCACAACTTCCTTGGGCAGCCTGTTCCAGTGTCTCACCACCCTCACAGGAAAGAATTTCTTCCTCATATCTAATCTAAACCTACCCTCTTCCATTAACTGAGAGCCCTTCTGCTTCATTTACCTGTGCTTTGTGTCTCACCTGGATCTCCTCAAGTGCATGATTGTCTGCAGTCTCCTCTTGCTGGAGGTTTGTCACTAGAGGGCACAGCAAGGTTCCCTCAAAAGCTGAGGGAAGCTGTGTGCAGTTACCCTGTGATTCTGCAGTGGCCTCCATTGCCTCCTCCAGCTGCCTGTAAAGGAAAGGCTGCGAGCTGTAAGCAGCAAGCTGCATAGTGCTGGCTCAGGAGATGAGAAGCAGAGAAATGGTAGCTGTGCTAAAATGTTTTGCTGAGTCTCTGGGTCACTGCAGTGACAGACCTGAGGCCGTACATTGTAAGGCAGCACAGAGAAATGTAAAGCCATGAGTACCCTAGTGTAGAAAATCCACGTGCCTCACATCTAAATATTGGCTGCTTTAGTCCAAAAAGTGTAACTTACTAGCAAGGGAAGAAAATGCTCCTGTGGCTGACTTGCAAGGCTGTTGAGGTCAGGTGTCCCAGGAAGAATCATAGAATTGTGTTGGTTGGAAAAGACCTCTAAGATAATTGAGTCCAGCTGTAAACCTAACACTGACAAGTCCACCTCTCAACCATGTCCCCAAGCACCACAGCTCCACATATTTAAATACCTCCAGGGATGTTACTCCACCACTTCCCTGGGCAGCCTGTTCCAATGCTTGATAACCCTTTTGGTGAAGAAATTTTTCCTAATATCCAATCTAAACTTCCCCTGGCACAACTTGAGGCCACTGCATCTTGCCTGCATCTTGCCCTATCACTTGTTACTTAGGAGAAGAGACCAACCCCCACCTCACTACAGCCTCCTTTCAGGTAGTTGTAGAGAGCAACAAGGTCTCCCCTGGGTCTTCTTTTCTCCAGGCTAAAACAACCCCAGTTCCCTCAGACACTCCTCATAAGATTTGTTCTCCAGACCCTTCACGAGCTTTGTTGCCCTTCTTTGGACACACACCACACTTCTTGTGGCGAGGGGCCCAAAACTGAACACAGTACTTGAGGTGCAGCCTCACTAGTGTCAAGTATGGGGGAGGGGGGATGGTCACTTCCCTGCTCCTACTGGCCACGCTAGTTCTGATACAGGCCAGGATGCTACTGGCCTTGGCCACCTGGGCACACTACTGGCTCATGTTCAGCTGACTGTCGATCAACACCCCCAGGCCCTTTTCTGCCGGGCAGCTTTCCAGCCACTCCTCCCCAAGCCTGTAGTGTTGCATGGGGTTGTTATGACCCAAGTGCAGGACCCAGCACTAAAGGTTCAGCTAGTGAATGAAGGAGTGGTTTACCGTGTTCTTCTGCAGTTCATTACCTGGATATTGTCTCCGTGCAATAGTGTACAAGGTTTACAAAGTGTCTGCTTAATTAGTAATTCCCTCAAGAAGGGGTAGGCAATTAGAGAAGTGTAGTTAATACCAATAAATATCTCTTACCTCCAAATACTTGGTAAAGGAGGAGAGAAAAGCCAGATGACTTCTGCTTAGTCATAAATAATATCTCACCATAAGTGATTATTTTGGGTTAATTTTAAACAAATTACCTGATAATCCAAAAAAGGTGGAATCTCAAGAAGGTTCGAGGTTCCTAATATGGTTAGAGAATGGTTGGGGTTTTTTTCCCCCAAAAAGTGTTAAAATTAAGAAAAATGAAGAAAAGCACAGAATGAGTAAAGCTTATGCAAAAAACTTCTTGGTTGGTAAATAAGAATAGAAACATTTGAAAAATAATTACAAATACTTGGATAATGCAACTCTTAATTCCCGCAGTTATTTGCCATGTATTTTTGTTCAGTTCTTACCTTCCCCCATAGGTAGTACATTTCATTACAAGACTTTTCTGCTCTTTGGAAAGTCAGGTTTGTATTTATCTGGTCTTTCCTCATTCTCCTGGCTGCTTTAGGAAGCAGGACTCCAGTATGAGATTTAAAAAGACTGAGCAATTGAATACAGAATAGCTTGAATTTATTGTAGTTGTACTTGTCACAAAGCTTTTGTGAGGAAAAGTGCCTTGCATAATTTCTCTGAAGAAAAAAATCTTAAGTGTATCTGACCTTTATCTGATTTTGGAAGCTGTATCAAATGAATGTGAAGGATTCTGTTTCTTACTTGTATCTGAAGATAATATATCACTCCTTTGCTAGTCATTGTGAATATGTTTACTGCTTTTGCATAGCTAGCTGATTTAGTCATCTGTACTTTAGGAAGGAGATGAAACTTTTCTAGGTCATCCTTTCTTTTAATGAAAAAAGCATAGCCAGACAAAATAAAGGGTAGAAAAAAAGTTGAAGATTCTTTTCAATAATTCTTAATTTGGAAAAGGGGCAAGTGTCCATACTTGCTAAGTCATGTGGAAAGTACTTACTTTTCCTTAAATCTTTATTGAACCCTGGAGGGAGAAGTC